ATCATTTATCATAAACTTTCTATAATAACATGCTGCACAATGAGCATTACTGTTAAATTTAAAACATGGATTATTCCTTAAATTCAGTTTTGTTTAAAAAATTAAATTTATTTGGATTAGTGTTCGTGTATTATTACATTACGACATATCTAAATTCTACTGTACAACAGTAATATATTTCTGTCAAGTTAAACCGAACTTTTATTTTGACGGGTTGCCGCGAAGACATTTTGAGTTTCCAAGGCAAGGAGAATTCGTATTTAAATAGTCTTTGTGGTTTAATATTCACACACGCTAGTCTACATCACGATTTGATTTCAAGTGTACTGAACCGCTTTCTATTTATTCTTCGAAAATATACAGTAAATTACTTTTTTATGACTGGATTTCGTCAGCATTTTAGGGGGGACGAGAGTCGTTTTTGCCTAAAACAATGGTAGGGGAAACACAGAATAAGTTTCATCTGCATCACTAATTTCCTCAGGTCAGAGAAAAACACCAGCTGAAAACTATTCAAAGTAGAGTATTAGAGTGAGAAGGAATAAAAGAGGATCTTTTTTAATAAAAAAAACTCAAAAATCTCTCACATGTTTCAAGTTCTACCTTATCAGAGATATCAGGATTATTGAATCTGTGGCAGTCTCTAGATTGAGTCTCCAATGAATATCTGATGTGCAGATATATTATTTAACGATCGTAAGGTATGATAGCATCAACATAATGTATTAACTGCAGTGTAAAAACTGCTGACGGGGCAGATATCAAAACCGACAAACACACACTTGCTGCCTGGGTCGACTTTGGGACACAACTACTGATTTTAGCAGTTTATAAAATTGTCAATATGTCACTAATCTGCGTTTCAGTTTTTACATACGGCCATATCGTGACTTTCTGTTCCTGTGCTTAAAAGTCACTATTGTGCCATTTTTCTTTGTTCATTGTGAAGCGAAGTCTTTATATTCCCATTTGGAGGTCAAGTCATCCAAAAAATGTCAAAATCTCCATTAGAGCCCGACCGATAAAGGATTTTGAAGGCGATATCGATATAAATATTTTTGGGTTTTAAAATCCGATATTTCGATATATCGGCCGATATTTTTTTATTATTATTAAATATTGTTGGATTTCACACGCGTAAAAGAAAGGCTAAATTTTCTGCACAAGATACGTTTGATACTTTTTCTCTATGTCTAAATGTTCACTCCTCCCAAGTATAACTTACATTTTACAATGCAGGGACTGTAACTAGAGATATGTGAGTTATAAATACAGTAATAATTACTTTATTTAGGCAGAAAAAGTTCATTTTGGTTTCCAAGCTCATTAATGTTAACGTTAGCGGTCTTCCACTGATGATAATTAGCCTGCTTTGTAGTTAGCTAGTCTATGATGAGCCATAATTTAGCAATAGACTGCAAATTGTAAAACATACATTTTCAATATAACAGGCCAAGGAGAGATGATTAAAGCGTGTTTCGTCCATTTTTATTTTATTTTTTAAATATTCATTTATCGGCCATTATAACTGCCGATACCGAAATTATGGAAAATGCCTAATATCGGCCGATAATATCGGTCTGGCTCTAATCTCCATCTGTCCACACCTCAGATTTGGCACGAATGGGCAAGATGGATCCTTATAAATCTTGCACCCTTCTTCATATTGTTGCTCACCTCAGATTCTGTTTGATCAGAGGAAGCTTGTCTACAGTCACGTTCCCCACGGGCCCGACTGTGCCGTGTTTATTTGGACTCTGAACACGCAACAATGACACCCATGCAAACAATAACACACACACGGTCCTGTCTCGCTGCGGTTCCTCGCTATGAAAACAGGACTAATCATAACAGGAGGGGTTTTCTGTAAAGACCAGCGGAGCAGGAGCTGCTCTCCCATTGAATCACCAGCCCCGCTGAGATTACATGAAAGCACTCAGAATGTCAGGAAGAGGCTGCTGGTGGCGCTGTGGGCGTCGTTACGTAATGGCATTGTGAATGTGCTTCTTAGGAAAACAGCTTTGAAGTTAGAAAAACAAATCCCAATGTCTGATCCACCACAGGTGCTTCAGAAGTGCCATTTCATATATATATTAGGGCTTTGAAAAGATTAATTAAGATTAATCGCATCCAAAATAAAGGTTTGTTTACATAATATATGTGGGTGTAGTGTGTATAATTATTTTGTATATATAAATACACACACATGCATGTATATATTTAAGAAAATGTGTTATTCATATATGAAATATTTATATATAATATATATAATTTATCATAGTTTTCACAGGTTTAGTTTGGTGTGTGGTGAAAGATTTTCAGGTTATGGGGTTATTGGGGCAATGGTTTCAGCTCTCGGCCCAAGATCTGTTTCGGTCTGATTGTATCTGTTCTCTGACTGGCTGTAAACTCCCTACGTGTGGATCCAGTTTCCAGTAGTTGGTTTATATTGAGTGATTCATACGATTCCTGTTTTCTGCATCAAAGAGTTTCCTCAGTCTCTCTGAGAGCGATCCAAATGACAACGTGCAGAAAGTTCAAGAAATAAACTAGGATTAGCATCCAATGATTTAGAAGCACAGTCAGAGCAATATATATATATATGTATGTGTGTGTGTGTGTGTGTGTGTGTGTGTATATATACATTTTTTTCTTTATTTTTTTGGTGAAGACTTTTTAATGCATTTTTTGTCCTTGCCAGAAAGCCACGTGTGTGTATAAATGTATATCATATTTTTTTTTTATTAATAATTTATTTTTACTTAATAATTGTAAATGTAAATAATTATTTAAACTTAATTATTTTTACTTAATGATTAATTTACAAGTATAATTATGATAAATGTATATAAATTAAGAATGTATTATTATGTATTTATTGAGTTAATATTTGAAAGTAACAATATATATATATATATATATATATAGTTTTATATATATATATATATATAGTTATATATAGTTATATATAAAATAACTACTTAATTTTAAATTTACAAGTGTACTTATAATTCAGCTGATTCAATTACACAGGGTCTGAACGTAAAGGTTTTTAGCTTATAAATAAACTTAAAATGTATTTTATATATATATATATATATATAAAAAATATAGACATATAGTTGTACTTCTTATACTTATACTTCAGCTAATTGAATTGCCCTTGGTCCACAGACCTCTGAACGTATAGGTTTATAGCTTTAAAAGTTTTTATTTCGTGCAGATTTTGGATGAGATCAGTGAGCAAGGAATCCGGATCTACCAGCTTCCCGACGCTGATTCGGACGAAGACGAAGAATTCAAGGAACAGACGCGTGTCCTAAAGGTCAGAGGTCAAAGTTTTCAAGTTCATTATCACCTCTGTAACACTGCCCGACCTCCCAAAGGCTTTGACTGAAGTTGAACGAGTGTGTTTGTGTGCAGGCCAGTATCCCGTTTGCTGTCATCGGCTCCAACCAGCTGATAGAGGTGAAGGGGAAGAAGATCCGTGGACGCTTGTACCCGTGGGGGGTGGTGGAGGTGGAAAACCCCGAGCACAATGATTTCCTCAAGCTGCGCACTATGCTGGTGTGAGTACACACACACACACACACACACGTCGAGGTGTCTTAACCTCCTAAACGTAATAGTAAAAACTAAAAAGGTGAAACATGTTTACATAACCATTTCCAATCTCTGAACCTTAGAGTCCAACAGAATGTTTTCTTTGCCGTACCTTTGAGACTCCTTGATGTAAATGAAACTTTTCACACATGGCTTACTTAACAATAGAGCGTTTGCAAAAACACTTTAAAATAAGATAAGGACAGGGTGATTCGTACAAAAAAATTCATTCCAAAAGTAAAAAAAAAAAAATTGCATGAAGAAAATTAAGCCAATTTTTTTACCATTTTCGACAGATTTCCACTCCAAATTCTCTTTACATGTAATGCATCTGTATGATTTATTTATTCTAAATGGTGATTCACTTTGTGATTAATGAGTAACACTTTATGATAAGGTTTTATTTCTTGACTTTCGTTAACTATATTATAAAACATTAACTAACGACGAACAATGAGAACATTTATTAATCTTGGTCAATCTTGGTAATTTCTACGTTTATAAGTTGTATTTGTCAACCTTTGTTAATGCACTGTAAACTAAAATTTACCAAAACAGAATATTTACAAAAATTAATGATTGCTTTAAAAAAAATATATTGCTCATGTTAACAAATGAGGCCTTAATCATTGTAAACTATTACTGAAAAAGAAATATATTTAAATCGGCATACAAAATGAAAGGTAGAACAACGAACACCACAATGATGTACAAATAAGTTAAGTAATTAAATAAATTAGTCAAGGGTTATTTTGCACTACATTATTGTAAAATTGAGGTGAAATTTGATTCATAATTGTTACAAATATGTCTCCATGAAAAAAAACTTGATTGGTGGTAAAATAGGGTCTAATTTTTTTATGCAAAAATATAATTTCTTTGATTTTGGAGGAAATATGTCCTGTGAGATCTTATAAGACAATTTGGGTGACTGTTGGCTTGATGTCTACATTTGTTCTGCAGCGCCCTCTGCTGACATAAATCTGTAATGTGTGTATGTGTGTGTGTAGAACTCACATGCAGGACCTACAGGAGGTCACTCAAGATCTCCATTATGAGAACTTCCGTTCGGAGAGACTAAAGCGAGCTGGCAGGTAAGGCAAATCAACACCATCACAAAGTGCCAAGGGGTCATAAAGTGCCGTTATCCTTGTTAATCCCTGTTATTTTACCTTTTTTTAAGTTCATAACAGCTCAATTGAAAGAGTAAGACATTTTACAGTTGAGACCTGATGATCAAACATTACTCAATCCATCGCACACTTGCTTATTTGATTGGTAAAATAGAAATAGTGCAAAACTTAAATATTTCTGAAGCGATTTTCCATCAAATTGGTTTTAATTTTGTCCAAATCCTACAAATAAGAGTATGACTGACCCTACTGATCCCCACTACGCGTGAACGGAGTTTGCACATTTCCATGGTTAATAGGGCTGTATATACTTAATTTAATGTCTCCAGATTTTACAGTATTAAATTATTATTTTTTTCTCAATGCTAAGCACAACAAATACATAAGAACAAATTGCAAGCTGTCAGTGAAACGGGCTTAACTTAAAGGACAACTCCGGCACAAAATGAACCTTTGGTCTAATTACACATTGTTACCTAGTCAACCGTTATCTGAGATTTGTTTTCATGATTGCCGAATGTAAATAGTTTTATCTCTAAAAACAGTTTAGCCTATAACGCTAGTATAACGCTAGTATATAGGGCATAGAGTAATGACAAATAAAAATCGCTTGTTATTACCACTAACAAGGCTCAAAATAGCCCCACACCAACACTGTAGCAATTCTTACATTAATAGTATAGAGAATAGGATCGTGACGTCAGCGGATCCCAGAAACGCAAGGCATTGTGGGATTTTAGGACACGGAGGTTGCGTGAGAAACATCAAATCATAGTCAAATCTGCAGTATATTTTTTGTAGACATGTACTTTTGAACTATTTACTAGTTCTTTATTTATGTTTATGTGTACGGTTAAGCACCAATATACCAAGGTAAACTCCTCGTATGTGAAAACCTGGAAATAAACCGGATTCTGATTTATTACAGAAACTAATTATTACGAAAACAGCAGCGTTTCGCCTGGAAATTACATTTAATAAAAAATAAAATAAAAATAAAATTACATTTAATAAAAAATTTAATAAAAACGACCGCTAACGTTAACATTAATGAGCTTGGAAACCACAATGAACTTTTTCTGCCTAAATAAAGTAATGATTACTGTATTTATAACTAGCATATCTCTAGTTACAGTCCCTGCATTGTAAAATGTAAGTTATACTTGCGAAGAGTGAACATTTAGACTTGGAGAAAAAGTATCAAACGTATCTTGTGCAGAAAAGTTAGCTTTTCTTTTACACGTGCGTGAAATCCAACAATATTTAATAAAAATAAAAATAATATCGGCCGATATATCGGATTTTAAAACCCAAAAATATTTGTATCGGTATTGGCCTTCAAAATCCTTTATCGGTCGGGCTCTAATATTTATACTTTTGCTCAGTGTTTTGCAAGGGATTTGAGTGATGTTTGGTGTATATTTGTTCTGAAACCATGTGATCCAGCAGGGATGCTGAGGAAGATGTGATGGACAAAGACCAGATCCTCTTGGAGAAGGAGGCTGAGGTAAGTCACATATGCATATCATTTTCACAATCGGTTCAAACATACTGTAATAATCACTATATATTAAGATTTTGTAATGATTTTGAAAAAAAGTCTCTTCTGCTCACCGAGGCTGATGTAAAAACAGTAATATTGTGAAACCATACATATCGTGCGTGATTTGTTTGCGATACTCTGGCCTATGGGAATGTATATCCCAGTCAGGTGCGGATGCAATCAGTGCAGTTTATAAACATGCATGTCTGCACAGGAAATGAGATCCACTTCCTGCAGTACTGAACATCGAGTATGTACACTTACAATGTAAAGTGTGTGTGTGTTTGTGTATTAAAATAATCTTTCCAAAATCAGTGGTTCATTAAGTCGTAACAGGGTGAAAGGCACTTCTGGATTCGCTTTGCGGTCCTATATCTGCTATAATGTAAGATTGCCAGATCGGGTCGCATTTATGTAGTTCTAATGAGGCATAAGAAAACTACAAATTTGACTTGTGTACCGTAGTCTTCGTTTCTGATGTCGCAATACATCATACAACATACTCTACCTTGTCTGTGGACATAATAAGCTTTATAATGAGAGTGAATGGCTGTTTGACATTGAAAGTCACGATAAAAGTGCTCGACACGGCTCTGCGGAGGTTAATATCTGAAGTGAAGTGATGTGTTTGTGTAACAATAAAAAATATTCATGTTTAAAACTTTAACTAAAATGACTAAAGAACATCTATAGTCACCACTGTTGTTTATTGTGTTTATGTGTACGTGTCAGTCTACATGAGGTGTAACAATGTTAGATGTTGTGCAGTAAACTGTGAAAATACTAGTGATGCAGGATATATCGGCCACCATATCGGTATCGGCCGATATCGGTTTATTTTAAATGTTATCATTATCGGCCCAATAGAAGAACTTGTCTGATATATTAAAGCCGATAAATAGTGTATTATCTCCTTCAGCTGAGACTCTTCATATGCGTACTGTACTGTTCAACACAATGGCTTTGAATTGCTTGAAATATGATTGGAATCACTTTAAAAAAGGAAAATATTAGTGACGCACGATATATCACTCTAATATGACGATTTGGTGTTCAAGAAATATTTCTGATTGTCATTATGTTGAAAACAATGGTTCATAATATTTTTGTGGAACCTGGTGTTTTTCTGTGATTCTTTGTTGAAGGAAGTTCAAAAGTAAATCACTGCATTTTTATATTTTCTATTTCTAGTGATGCACGATATATCGGCCACCATATCGGTATCGGCCGATATCGGTTTATTTTAAATGTTATCATTATCGGCCCAATAGAAGAATTTGTCTGATATATTAAAGCTGATAAATAGTGTATTATCTCCTTCAGCTGAGACTCTTCATATGCGTACTGCTCAACACAATGGCTTTGAATTGCTTGAAATATGATTGGAATCACTTCAAAAAAGGAAAATATGGTTCAGTATGTCATATCGGTTACATAAAATTATTATAAGAACATGTTTAGGACGTGGCTTTTACTGATGAGGCTTTTGTTTTTGTAATCAGGCTCTCAAATTATACGCAAATTTGGATTTATATTTATCGGCCAATATATCGGTTATTGGCTTTCAAAAATAAAGAATTATCGGTTATCGGTAACGGCCAAAATGTTCATATCGGTGCATCCCTAGAAAATACTCAAACACACACTTCTGATTGGAAATTTAGCTGGAAATAATTTCCTCTATTGCACCAGATTAAATGTTATATTTTAGTGACACACACACACACTGTTTTACTGTTTTAATGTTTTTGAAAGAAGTCTCTTCTACTCACGGTGGTGTATTTATGTGGGGAAAAATACAGTAAAACCAGTAATATTGTGAAATTATATTATTACAATTTAAAATAACAGTTTTCTATTTGAAAATATTGTAAAATGTAATTTATTCCTGTGATATAAGAGATGTGCAAGGCTGCATTTATTTGATAAAAATACAGTGTAGTAATATTTCACAAAATTACTGTTTTTAATTGAAAAAAAATCCATTTTCTATTTGAATATGTTAAATAAAATTTTTTCCCCCCTGTGATTAAAGCTGAATTTTTAGCATCATTACTCCAGTCTTCAGTGTCACATGATCCTTCAGAAATCACTCTAATATGATGATTTGCTCAGGAAACTTTTCTACTTATTAATTATTTTATTAATTATTAATTTGTTTATATGTTTTATATACATATTATCAGCTTGTTCTTCTTTTGCAGCTGAGACGCATGCAGCAGATGATCGCTCAGATGCAAGCTCAGATGAAGATGAAACCGGGGGATGACTAAGTGTGTGGGTGTGTGTGTGTGTGTGTGTCTGTTTGTATGTATGTTGTGGGAACAGGAAGTGCCATCTGACTTGAGGGTGCATTTATCCTACCCTTTTCTAAACACTATTTTCTCTTATCCCTCATGTTTATCAGATTGTCGGAACATAATGTTAATGATGCCTAATTAATGTAACCAATCACTATCGCAGCTCCGCCCATTTGAATAACCTCGACACTGAAACCAACGGTCATTTATGATTTGATTTAATCAGTCTTTGTCCAATCAGGTTAGATGCTGTTAATAATTTATATCATGGTTTTACTGACAATGTTCAGCATCTGTATATTGATCAGGGTTTGTGGTCAGCTCAGCGTTTTTCTGTGCCAAAACACTCTTTTTAAGCTGCTTGGCTTGTCCCAGTCATGTTTTTCATGCGTTAGACTGGCATACGTTTACCAGATAACCTCGTCGATACTTTATAGAGTGCTTATGGATAGATAGGATCAAATAAGAGGATGTTGTACCTGGTCAAGTTTACAGTTTTATCAAATGGACAGGTTCATAATCGTGATGCATTCACAGGCATTGTGTTCAAAAAAAGCGGTCACTACGTTCTTGATGGAGAAACTGACTGAGATGTATGTCAAATTTCATCACGAAAAGTATCATAATATCTGATATCATCGGTTATTTTCCTTTTAAATGCATTTAAATCTCTATTTGTCAAGTCAAGCTGTGCACTGGTCAGGGTTTCCCTCTAGTGGACGCTACAGGAATACAAGCTGAAGTCCAATTGGAAGCACATAAAAGCTACAATTGCCAGATTGTATCATGAAAAAACTACAATTGGACAATCTCTTGACATCATGTTGCATTTGGTCAATAATGCAATATCTGATCAGTATCTTTTTAAAAGGAAAAATTGCACAAAGTTCACCTTTCGTGTTTAGAAAGTGGGAATTTAGTAATGGTACTAAAATGAGGATAAAGACATGTTTATTGTGGACAGCTGTATTTTGATTCACAGAAATGCCTTAAAACTCCACTTAAATGCACACATTTGTAGCCTTTCTCTACTTTTATACTTATATTCTCATGGTGTGGGGTTTTCTATCAGTTTTATTGCTTTTTTTACTTTATTTACTACGTTTAAACAATAGCATCTACTGCAGTGGACTTTATATATTTTGTTTACCAGCTGGTACATTTTACTGTATGTTCGATGTTTTAAAACGCACCGTCAGACATGTGAGAGCATTGTAGTGAGTTATCTGCTAATTATTGATGTCTGCAGTAAACACACTGATTTTATTTTGTGGTTCAGCCCAGTTATTTTGACTTGGTTATCTCCTGTTTAGGCCTTTTTAAAGAAATAACAGTTGTGCGGTACGGTAACGCTTACTTCCCTGTTTTACATCTTCCTTTTTGTACTTGCTTTATTGAGAAATAAATAACTTTCTGAGTCATTTGTTTTGCAAGCATGAATGTTTGAGGTCTCAGAAATGGTTTGTGTATTTGTATGAATTTCATTCATTTCTAAAACTCTTTTTCCTTTACCATTTGACTAGTTTAATTGATGCTGCAAATTTCATGCTTATCCTGATTTATTTTAAAAAGAATGTTTGGCACATGCTTGTTTTTTTGTTTGTTTTTTTTGTTTTTTTTAACTAAACAAACAGTTAAATTTAAAATGCTCAATTGATAAAGTGAATTATTAAATAAAAGACTTAAATATTATTTATTGAAGTACTTTTAACTAGATTTAATATAATTGATTTGATGAAAAGATTTTTATATTTTAATGATATTAATTAATTCTGAATATTTTATTGCACCAATTTGATTTGATCTTTTTAAATTCAAAGTAACAAGCACAATGTAAGAATCCAATAGCAAACAAAAGTAGGAAAAAAAGGAACATTTATGGTCCATGAAAGATCTCGTCATAAGGCGCAGCTGAAGTTTTTTATTATTATTATTATTTATTTTTTTATATAAAGTAAAATTACTCTGAAAAGGAATGAAAAATTCAGCAAGAAAAAGAGGAAGACTGGTGCAGCTGTAGTATTTTTATTATTTATTTTTTTTATTGCAGAACTTATACAGTAAATACATGTATGAGCAGGGATATGAGCGTGGTTGTATCTCTTTCAAGGAACAATAACAACAACAGCAAAAATAAAAATAAGTAAATATCCTGGATTTGCATACATCAAAAAAAAAAAAAAATAGATTCACTCTGAAATGAAATGAAAAAATTCAGCAAGAAAAAGAGGAACGCCCTAGGCACAGCTGTAGTATTCTGTAATAGGTTTCTATGAATGACGTATGTACGGGCGGGGTTTCGCATGCGCTGGACACGCCCCTCCACCCCTGAGGTTCCGAGCTCGAGACAGACCGAAGCCGAGCCCAGCAGAACTGCAGAGAGCGAGACAGGCCGAAACATGAGCACCAACATCAGATATAAGAGCAGGCTCATGAAATCCGGTAATGACACAGACACGGGGACTGTTTTTACTCTGTTTTTACTGTGAGTGAGTAGATGAAATGATGACTATTTCTCTCTTCCTGCATGTGCATCTTCATCCTCGCGCACCTGCTTCCCTCATCCGACCTGCTGCCGCCGCTTCAGAGGACAGTGAGGTGAGAAACAAGCAACTTTACCACACTGTGCAGTTTTCACAGTTCCTACCAATTCATGGTACAAACCGCCGTCGTTTCCACACAAGTTAAACCGCGTGACAAAATCATACGACGGCCAATCTCAATCTGACAGTGTTTTATACATAGGCTATTGCTGCTTTCTTATGTGTTCACGCGAGCGTTTCCTCAGACTGTGCCGTCGCTGTCACCCTCCCTCGACTGACGCACGTCATTCCTTCAGGATTATAATAACGCATATCTCTTGCATTCTTCTCCTGATCAGGAAATCTGATGTGTGTTGGCTGTTCTGAGTCGTTGATATGAGGATGATAGTGCTTCTCCTCTCTGGAGGTGTTGTCATGGTTACAGGAGCTGGAGGCTGAGGGTGCTGAGCTCTAGATGTTTGAGTGAAAGAGTGTATATCTGTTGGTGTGTTGATGTGCATTGTGGTTTCAGACCTTGTTCACCCATAAAATGGGTTGTCATGTTGATCATTTAAACAGTCGGGATGGGAACCTTTAGTCCACGTTGCAATCCGATTTGCTATTTAATTTTGCTAGTGTCAGGTGGTGGTATGACATCAATATTTCTGATCCATTTCGCCCCTATATTTGAAATGCATACACTGCTGTTCAAAAGTTTGGGGTCACACTCAGAAAAAAAGGTACAAAAGCTGTCACTGGTGCTGTACCTTTTCAAAAGGTAAACTTTTGTCCATTTTAGGTGGTAATATGTACATTTTAGGTGCTAATATGCACAATTTAGGTGTTAATATGTACCATTAAGGTACCAATATGCACCCTTTAGGTACAAAAGTGTAACTGCCTCCCAGGGACAGTTTTTGTACCTTTTTTTTTTTAGATTACTTTCTTTTAAAGAAATTACTTTTATTCAGCAATGATGCATTGGATTGACCAAAAGTGACAATAAAGACACTCATAATGTTACAGAATATTTCAATTTCTAATAAATGCTGTCTTTTGATATGCTTATTAATCGAAGAATCCTAAAAAAAAAAACAGTTTGCACAAGCAACATAACAAGAATTTTGTTTTCAACAAAATTCCTCAACACCTCAGATTTTTGCATATGTTAAGCGAACGTTACATTGTATCATTCTTCAAACATTATGGAATGTTCATTTTGAAATTTGAATTTAAAAAATGTTATATGAACATTCAAACTCTGCATGAAAGATGTGTAGTATGCGTAATTTTTTTTTGTGCTAACGTAAAGGTCTTTTTTTAAATGGAGGAACTGGGAAAATGGGGGGAAACTGGGGAAAAAAAACTAAAAATTTGTTTAGTTTTTTTTAGGGCCGTGCAAAAATTAATTGCGATTAATCACATCCAAAATAAAAGTCTGTGTTTACATAATATATTTGTGTGTGCTGTATATAATTATTTTGTATATATAAATACACACACATGCATGTATATATTTAAGAAAATGTGTTATTCATATATAAAATATTTATATTTATATAATATAGATTATGTATTTATAAATATATACAGAATTTAAGCGCAAATAATTCTTAAATATATACATGCATGCATAGGTATTTATATATACAAAATAATTATATACAGCACACACAAATATATAATGTAAACACAGACTTTTATTTTGGATGCGATTAATCGCAATTAACTTTTGCACAGCCCTAGTTTTTTTACTTTACGAGTATAATAGTATATGGTTTAGTGGTAAACCCTGAAGGCAAGTAACAAGTTGCTGGTTGCAATTTGCGGATTTGATCTCCATGATAATTGTGGACTTGAATTTAGCATCTGTTAAAAGATTAATTCTTTCTATTTTCCTATATGTATGTACAGAAGCTGTTAGCGATTTCACACGGCTTCCAGCACTTGAACCATGAACACACAAGTGCAGTTCCTAGAAAACTCATCATCCTACGCAAAAGCAAAATGCAACAGCAAACACCCACACACACACATTCTGTCAATGCCTCAAGATCTCTCTTACTCTCTCTCTCTCTCTCTCTCTGCATTGAAGCTTAATAGCTTAATGGTGTGGAAGGCTGGCTGCCATTTCAGACTTGTCTTATTTATCTCTGAAAAGGTCACTGCATTAAAATAAAGCAGTGTGTGTGTGTGTTTCTATAGAACGAGATGTCTGTCAGTGAAGTGCGCAGCTGCATACGGCGTGACAGATGGCAGAATTGAAGTTTCTTTTGATCATGAAGTCAAATGGCCTCTGTAGCTGTTCAAATGCCACGACGAGAAACGTCCATCTCAGGATTTACAGTACGAGAGAGGACAGAGCGTTCAGTACATGCTCAAGAAAAAGTTTTAGTTCACCTGTATTTGGATTAGACCTGTATGCCAGAAATGTATTTCAATTAGTCATAAATTTTCCCTGATTTGTCACTAGACATTAAATTATGCTCATTTCAAATACTTATATCACTGACAACAGTAGTCCATAGCTTGGATAACATTTACAATATATTCAACAGTTAATCTAAATTGTAATAATATCTCAAAATATTTCTGTTTTACTGTATTTTTAGATCAAATAAATGCAGCATTGGTGAGCAGAAGAGACTTTCAAAAACCGATCTAAACCAGTGCTCCCTAAAGTGCTGTGGGAAGTTGTCAGTTTAAACCCCACAACTATCACCATTTTTCCTCTGAGCATCACTCTGAGCATAAGTGTACTGTAAGTTACCCTGGATAATGTGTGTTGAACCATTTAAACACATGTCATGCCTGAACCAGTAAAGCTGACATGGTCTGTTTGTGCTTGACCCAGTGCAGCTGCCGTAGAGCCCCGAGGATGTTTAGTCAGCGCTGAAAGTCTCGTGTTCATTCACTTCTCTTCCTTCAGGCGTCTCTCCTCCCTTCCCATCATTATGACATCATCAGCATGTTCCAAACCCACATGCAGTGTAACATGAGACAGCTCACATGACATCATTGGTCCCACCTCACTCTTAAATATCACTGAGCAGCAGGAAGGAGATGAGCAGGATGTCTCTATTTCAATTAGAATTAGAAATGTTATTTTGCATTTTAACTGCAGGGTTGGCTGGGCATCGCTATACAGTTGCTAAAGTATTCGGAATGCCGTTCTGTGCTTTATTATGTGGTTGCCAGGGTGTCGCTGTGCAGTTGCTAAGGTATTTTTCTAATTGCTTTGTGTGCATTTCAGTGCAATTGCAGTACACTTTAATATTGCTGCAGTTGTGGTTGTTTTTAGTGTTGCTATGCAATTGTTAGGGTGTTCTGAGTGGTTGCCAGGGTGTCGCTATGCAGTTGCTAAGGTATTTCTCTAATTGCTTTGTTTGCATTGCAATGCAATTGCAGTACACTTTACTATTGCTGCAGTTGTGGTTGGTTTCAGTGTGTTGCTATGCAATTGTTAGGGTGTTCTGGGTGGTTGCCAGGGTGTCGCTATGCAGTTGCTAAGATATTTTTCTAATTGCTTTGTGTGCATTTCAGTGCAATTGCAGTACACTTTACTATTGCTGCAGTTGTGGGTTTTTTTAGTGTGTTGCTATGCAATTGTTAGGGTGTTCTGGGTGGTTGCCGGGGTGTCGCTGTGCAGTTGCTAAGGTATTTTTCTAATTGCTTTGTGTGCATTTCAATGCAATTGCAGTACATTTCACTATTTCTGCGGTTGTGGTTGTTTTTAGTGTGTTGCTATGCAATTGTTAGGGTGTTCTGGGTGGTTGCCAGGGTGTCGCTATGCAGTTGCTAAGGTATTTTTCTTCATCAGAATGGTACGAAACTTGGTAAAGGTTTTGGCACTTGCTATTTGAACACACACACAACACTGTAAAAATAATCCTGTAAAA